GCTGGCTGCTGACTGCTGGGTGCTGTCGTAACACGTGTATTGCCGTCCCACTCACTCTAAAACATAGATAAAATACACAGAACCGACTGACTAATTGTAATAGATATACTCGAAAACCAAAAAAAACTATCTATATTTATACTAATATTATAAAGAGGAAAATTTTATTTGTTCGATGGTAATGTAACAACTTAAGAACTACTGATTTCAAAAATTCTGTCACTTTAACAAAGCTACGTTGTCTATGAGTAACAAAGGCTGTGTTTTATATTATTTTTTAATTTCGCGCGGACGGAGTCGCAGGCGAAAGCTATCTGTACATATAATAAGATTGGAGTGTCTCTTTTATTCTCATTTAATTTTTTTTCTGTCCGCAAGCAGTGTTCCGGGTGATCTCAGAAATGGCTGGATAAATTTCCACCGGACTTTCACTGAGGGGTACCTTAATGTTGCGTAGACGAAGTCACAGACAACAGCTAATAGAAGATAAAATTCATAATCGAGAGTAATGTTTTAAATCGGGATTGAGTTTTATTCAGAATTAGCTTTCACCCGCGACTCCGTCAGCGCATAATTAAAAAAAAACAAACGCAAGTAGCCTGTGTTCTTTTATTCAAATTTTATTTCAAATTTCATCGAAATCCGTTCAGTCGTTTAGGCTACAAACTAACAAACATCCATCTAAACTTTCGCATTTATAATATTAGTATGATTTTAATTCTTACATATTCAGTGTTTTGTGTTAATGTTGTATCTTATGACACTCTTAAAATTAAGACGAATCTAATGACACCTTATTTGTTAAAATTGGTTTAATAGTTTATCCTGTAGGTTATTACAAAGGAATTTATAAAAAAAAACTTACGGCGGGAATATCCTTACCGTCAGTCAGATAAATAGAAATTGGGAGGTGGACAAAATGACACAGGAGGGGATGTAAATATGCATTAAAGATACATTTTCGCCAAAATGGCGAAATACCCCGTGTTTCGCCATTTTAGCGAAAGTAGCCGCTTTTTTTTTTGTCATCTCATAAAAACAGGTTTTACAGTGTTACGACAGTTGAAATTCACGGTTAGTGTGAATTATTCTAATTTCCAGGACCACAACTGAAACCAAAGTGTTCTGTGGAGTTCTTAGTCTATGGTCTGTTAAGTGATACTGTATACAAAAATGTAATTTGTAAGATGTAATTTAATAAATTAAGGGTGTACTGAGAAATATCCTATTTGTCACAATAACGATGTAAAGCAATAAAATTGAACACTAAAGATAATTAAATAACGCCATCTGTTGGCTGCGTTTTAAAATGCTAACGAGCTTAAAATTTTACATTCAAAATTTCGAAACATATATATTTCTCATTAGTTAAATTTCACTGTACATTTGTACTCGCTTTCTTAGTTTTATACCAGTTAGAGTCTGCACAATTTTTTCAAAACGATTATCGGAAATCCCCATTAAAATGTTTCTTGCTTGAATGGTGAGAACGCGACGCACAACATGTTTACATTTTCCCAGTGATTATAAACTTTCATTTCCGTTCAGTACAATTTTATTGTTAAACATCAATTTTGTTTAGTGCCAGTTAGTTTTAATTTATTTATTCATTCATTTATTCATTTTAATTACCTTCGAAATATTTATTGTTTAGGATATAGTAAAATTAGTCTTATTACTGCCTACCCCAGAAACAGCATTAACTTCACTCAATTTGTATATCAAAATCCTATTTATTAGAAATTAACAAAACCTAAAAATTTAAAAGAAACAAAAATTTTCAGTTTAGTTTTAATGTCTTTAAACATTCTATTAATTAGAAATTAAAAAAAATCAGCACTAAGGGAAATTACCGAAAAACCTTTAAAAATAAATTTGATTTTGATATACAATCTTTACATCACATTTTTTGTCATTACCATAATAACACTGATCTGTATAAATGGGTAGGTTTACTTCTAATGTTGACATTGAATATTTTAAGCGAATCCTCATCCGCTGCCAATCACTAACGACGCCAAAAAGGCGAAAATCAAATAGATACTAAGTATAGCCTATCCATTTATAGACATCAGTGACATTTATTCCAGTAATTTCCTAAAGATATGTAGAACTTAATTGTGATCTGGAATTTCGTGCAAATGTTTAAATTGAAAGTATGATTTTATTTGTTGATTATTTTAAAATAAAATATCATTAAGTTATTGATAACCAATAAAGTTATACAATGTTTAAGTTGTTTCGTTTTATTTTAAAAATATATTTATAGTTTGTCTAAATAAGATAGATTAGTTTGATAAATGACGCATATGAAGTATCGAATTCAATTTATATGAAGGCAAATGCCGTACTTAATAGACAGGTAACGTAGTGACGTCATGAACACGCAGCGAACAATTATGAACTATCGATATTCGGTTTGAATAATTATCGAACTCAACTAAAATTATTATTTTCTTATTAACTAATTTAGAGGACAATTCTAGTATTGATTATAGTGTAGAGAATTTAGCGATGACAGAAATAATAGCGAAATCCTATTCGATTACGTACGGCTGTAGTAGTAATAAACATTTATTTACTCTCATTATTTGTTACGGTCATTATTAATTTGAGAAAACAGAGTTCATTTTTATTTCATAAGATAACTATAAATCTATCGATACCAACTTCTATAAGAATAAAAATCGAAAATCGATAAGATTCATGACTGATTTTACATAACCCATCCCTACTAAATTTGAAGTGAATTGTCAAACTAATCTAAATTGTTTAGACACACTATAACAAGTATTTTCAATTAAGATAATCAAGTATGATACGACGGACATGAAAATTATTTTACCAATTATCCGTTTACTATACATAGATATAAAGGCCGGCAACGCATCTGTAGTTCCTCTGGTGTTACGGACCATAGGCGTTGACCACCTCTGTGTTCCCGCAGCTCACTTGCTTCTTTTATTAAAAAAAAAAACATCAAAGAAGCAAGATTGCCATGGTAATGGTAATTGTTATACAAAGTCAAAGATCTTTGTTGTCATTTGTTTGTAAAATTTTGACATTTGCAAGCGAAATTTTCACAAATACAAACAATAAAATAAAGTTTTTATAATTTCATGACGATGAAGCCACACGGGAACAGCTTGTTCACTATGACATAAACCAGCACTAGCTGTTGCCTGCGACTCCGTCCGGGCGGAATTAAAAGATAAACAGAAGTTAGTAGCCTATGTGTTCTTCCAGACTATCCTACATGCCAAGTTTCAACGAGATCCGTTCATTAGTTTAGGCGACAAACTCCTAAAAAACATTCAACTAGCTAAACCTTCGCATTTATAATATTAGTAAGATTAGATTATGACGGAAATGGCGACAGATAAGCTAAAATATAGTTTAAAATTTTCTATTACTAATAGTATATTTTATATTCATTTTAAAATGTAACAAGCATCAACTGTGTCGTTTAAAATAAGATCAGTTACTGCATAATTTCAATCTTAGCTTATTGTTATATTCCGCGATATCCATGTGCATATGTTTGCATAAATATTACCTACTAAAGATTGTGTTATATAGTTCAAATGAGAGAGTTTTGGTCGAGTTATAGAGTAAATTCACAAAAATGTTCAAATGTCTAAAAGACATAAATGTGAGACGTGGAAAAATAGGTGCTGTTGTTATATTTATTTTATATGTGTATTTTTTCGAAAATATTAGCGAATCAAAATCTTTACTCCTATCGTGGGCTCATTTCGAAGATATTTCATGTCATTATTCAGTGAATGAGGATGTGTTACCTTCAGCGGACGGTAATTATTTCTCGCCGTCGTACAAAAGTATTTTCTTCCTGGAGACGTCGTGTCGACGTAACTTGACATCGAGAGAGTTGTGCGCCATTGAGTCAGCGGCGCGCGCGCATCCCGACTACCAAATCAACGTGATGTTCACCGCTCCCATCTCCGATGAGATTCTCAAACATATTGGCCTCAGAAAAAAATTCAAGAATGTACGATTTTCAAGAATACATATAGAAGAATACTCTAAGAACACTCCAGCGGAAGCGGTCGTTAGTAGCGGCGCCTTGAATAAATCACATTGGGGAGTTGAGCATACGTCGGATTTGTTAAGATATTTAACTTTGTACAAATGGGGTGGTATTTATTTAGATATGGATGTGGTGGTCGCGAAACGTTTGGACACATTGGCCGCGAACTGGGTGGCCAGAGAGTGCGATACGCTCGTAAGCGCCGGAGCATTTACCTTCTCCGCGGACAGCGTCGGTAGAAGTATTGCGAAAGATGCGATAAGGTACAAAACATTTGCATAATACCTGATTTTTAAATAAGATGAGAAATGAGCACAAATTCGCTAATTCAGCGAAGTGACCGTACAGACGTCTTTCCAAGCCATCAAATGCAGATGCGTTATGTTCTAATCGGCAGAAGATGGACAAAAAGAGCGGATTATCACTTCCAGCGCACTACCTAGGTCAAAACCACTTTTCCTTCTAACCCCTTATAAGTTTGTCTCCATTGTAATTGACCCATGTCTTCTGTGTGGACGTGATTACATTCATGAGGCAATGTTAAGATTCAAATGTAATAAAAACCGCCGTATAATTAAATATTTGACACAAGTATTAACGCTGTTTACCAATTTTCTTATTAATTATACGCATCGTTCCATTTCCAGTGAAATCCAAAGGGATTTCCGATACGACTTGTGGAGCTACAACGGGCCGGGAGTCCTTACTAGAGTCTTAAAGGCGAGATGCAACACCACTGACGTCACACGCATGAATACTACCATATGTCAAGGTGATGTTAAATTTTTGTGAAATGTTTATCAAAAGTCTTCCCAGTGTCAGTCGGCGCTGCAATGCTAATTTAGTTTAACTAGCCTTATACTACTATAAACATTTTCTTTACAGGATTCGAAGTATACGGTCCGGAACTTTTTTACCCGATTAAATGGGAAAATAGCAATGAATATTTCAAGGCGAGAATACTCGAGAACAAAGATGCATACGTTTACCACGTGTGGAATCATTTGACGAAGAATCGTACGCCAGACAAAGACTCTCCTTACGCTCATCTCGCTAGAACATTCTGTCCATCGACTTACACACTATATGGCGATAGATTTGGATTATAAAGTTTGTTAAGGAACATTAAATCAACCATTGGAGGTCAACTAACCACTAAAAACGCTATAATATTATCCTCAAATATCCTTTAGTGGTTAGGTAACAATCAATATCTTGAACACAAGAAATCCATCGCCTTCCTCCCCATCCTACTCCCGTAAGCCCCGTTCTTACCTTAACTGATTAAACGTAGTCGTCGAATCTGTGAATGCGATTCCAAAAAAATAGTGACACTCAAGTGCACCAGTTATAGCTTCAAACTAATAACAAACAAGAAATAACCGAGAATAATTAGTGCTCGCAGGGGTTTTTTTGCCAGTCCAGTGTTGTGAATATTTGTGCTTAAGCGTGAAAAGTGCAGAAGTTACCCGAGACCAACATTTCTATTTTGCAAGTCATCACGTCAAGAAGGGCGTACTACTAAATATGTCTACAATTCGAGATTCTGGACACGGTAGTCGTGGTGCAGCAACGATTGCGTCTATGCGAAACTGAGTGCGCGTCGAACGCTGTGGTTCGAGCCCGAGAAGTTGACTTTTTGTTAATTTTAGGTTTTAATTTTTTATTCTTTGTACGGACATACGTTTCTTTTATTTTTAAGTTATTAATTTTAGTTCTATAATTAAAAGGAGGAATTCTGTTTTTGGATTGTTTTTTTTTTTTAATTTAGCTTCAGCAATTAAGATTGTAATAGTGGTAGTCGATTTCAATACTTTATTTTTTTTTAATACTTAATACCGTTATGGCTAAGTGTGGAGGATGTGGCAAATTCTTGCCTATTACAGGTACTGATATAATATCATATAGCAAATGTGATTGTCAATTCCATTGAGAGTGAGCGCGCTTGCCACGTTGTAATAAAGCACTGCGCGAATGGATATGTCAAGCGTGCTCGTTAAAAAAGCCACGCACCCCGCAAACTATCACTGAACTGAATATTAGCTCTTCGCAGTCATACCTGTCGACGTAGTTATATTACAAGCTATCGAAACTGCAGTGGCTCGACAATTCGAGAAATTTGAAAAGAAGTTTGCAGATATTATAAAAGACCTTTCTTTGCTCCGCGAAATCGGGGAGAGAGTGGCAGCGCTAGGTAGCGTGTGCGAAGGCTTTCAAGCCGAAATCAATGCAAGCAAAGATCACAATCTGAAGATACAGGTCGAGAATAAGGCATTGCGATCTACGGTACAAGATTTATCCACCCGACTCGCACTCGTTGAACAGCAATCGCGACAGAAAAACATCGAAATAACGGGACTATCGGAGAGCAGATCTGAAAACTTGATTACTACTGTCTTTGAACTAAAGAACGTCGTGTCATCGAGGATTACTGAAGGAGATATTGTGTCTGTTGTACGCACCAGGAAAGTAGACAGGGTCAGCAACCGACCTCGAGCAGTTGTTGTAAGGCTAAGCAACATTAAAGCTAGAGACGACCTATTGGCATCCGTAATCAAATTTAATAAATCTAACCAAAGACAACAATCTAAATTCAAAACATCTGGGTTACGGCGGTATAGTTAGCCCTGTTTTTAATATCAGAACACCTATCACCAGCAAACAAGAGCTCTCACGCTGAGATGCGGAAAGTCACTCGCGCTATAAGGGATACAAATTTGTTTGGGTGCGTGACTGGAGAATCCTCGTGCGCAGACACGAAGGGGCTGCTGCGAAACAAATTAGGTTTTAAAATACTATAGTATTAATAAAAATAAGGATAAAGAAAAAGAAAAAGAAAAACGTATCATGATGTCCGGTAATGATAGATCAATTCTTCCTCTTAAAAGTTTTCGCGGTATGCGCGCTAAGCTACAGGAAATAAATCGGAATGTATCTGTTAATTCGTATCACATTATAATTGCCATTGATGTCAATATCATGACATGACATATTTCCCCTTCCTGTGGCCCCACCTACGTCAAATCCACTTCCTCTTCTTGGTGTTGTAAGATAAGGGGGGAAAGAGAAAAGGGACTAAAACCAGTCCGTTGATAGTGTCGACTCGACACGCACACTTATCAAAATAATTGGAATTGCTTCCACCTCACGACTGACTTATATGTGGTCGTGGTATCATGCCAGGCCAACCGGCCATTTCTTGCAACATATGTCGCTGACAACAGAATGGAGACTGTCAATAACATCTTCCCTCATCGTACTCAAGAATTAGAATTAGGCCTTTAACATATCTCACTAATATTATAAATGCAAAAGTTTGCGGAATGGATCTCAATGAAATTTGGCAAAGATGTAGAAAATAATACAGTATACGAACACATACACATTATCTTCAACCACATGCTCAATGCAGACATTCAATGACACACATTCACACACTTACTAACTAAATCTCACATACACACACACACTCATACAATCACTCACACCAGCACACATGAGAGATGGTTAAGAAGTATTTCATATTTCTTCAACTTCAGTTTATTAACAGTAGGTTTATTTTTTCTGTAATTTATATGGTTTCGATACTTAAGTTTTTTTTTCTCTTTGTTGTAAATGTACCTGAATGGGAAGGCATTGGCTCCTTAAACACAGGATTTCCTAGTTAAGGAGCCAAAGCGATATTGATCCTGTAATCAGTGATTTACTATAAAGAATTTAATTTTAAATATTACACTAAAAAATCTATTTTCATTTCTGTGGCTGATGTAAGCTGCAAACAAATTAAGCTGCTTGGTTAAATGATCTGCTCCAACTATTAAACTGCATGAGCTGATACTCTCTCTCTCTCTTCTATTCCTATGTCCCCAAAGTGGGGCAGAGGTCGTCCACAGTACGCCGCCAGCTCGCTCTGTCTTGGGCTCTGCGTTGTAGCTCGGACCATGACAGCCCGATTACCTTCAAGTCGGCCGCCACTGAACGCCGCCAGGTTTGTTTAGGGCGGCCACGCTTTCGTGTTCCTTGTGGGATCCACTCCAGGGCCTCCCTGAGCCGATACGCACATCATTAATTTTAGTTGAGTCAGTCATGATTAGAACTAGGATTTGGTGTCCGTCTTCAATTTTAGCATACCCCAGACTGGAATTACCAAATCGGTAAGAACAAAGAAATTGACTAAGGAACTAATTTGGAACCTTGTACATATCTTGAGTTAAATAAAATTATGGTTGAATATCTTTATTGTTTTCATTTATTTTTAAATTTTAATTTGCACATGTAAGGACCACATGTGCACCTTTTCCTAAATAGTTTCACATCATCACCAGCTCACTATATGTCCCCACCGAGGCGTTCGGAGCCTATCCTAAGTTAGGGTGACTAGGCCATAGTCAACCACGCTGGCCAAGTGCGGGTTGGTTGACTTCACACATATCTTTGAATTTCTTTGCTGATATGTGCAGGTTGCATCATGATAAACTAAATAGTTTAGTTGGTGTTAAATAAGAATCTAATTACAAATCAAACATTTAAAAAAAATAAAAAAAACATATCGACGAATTGAGTACCTCCTTTTGGGAAGTCGGTCAAAAATATAGTTATATTGTATATAGTTACATAGTATGAAACAAAGTTGCTTCCCGCTGTGTTTGTCCCCATGTATGCTTTGCTTTTAGAATGATGCAATGACTATTAAATATATATGTATTTAATATAAATTTAATAGTAATTCAAGAATGGTACAAATTAAGGAGTAAATTTGTCAGTTAACATGGTATGAGAATGTTATGAGGGATGTATTGCATGTAACAATGTTATGAATGTGGTACACCGGTAGAGGTAGACCTAGAAAGAGGTGGATGTAATGAGTGAAAGATGACATGATCAATAAGGAAGTGATGACTGAGGTGACGGGTGATAATTATGTGGGGGGATAAAAACTTGTGCTGACCCTGTGGAAATAGGATAAAGAGGATTATGGTAAATAGTGACTTAGGAAGGTTTATATGTATAACACAGAGAAATACTAATAATTTTAAAAGTTTCTATCATAATGTCTTAAAGATATATGAACATTGGACACTTCCGAAACCAAATAAGCAATAATTGCTTCAGTTTATGTTTAAATAAATTACTAACTATTCAATGATGAAAATATAACAAACTAATTAGCAACAAATATATCTAATACTTCAGAAGCTAGAATAAATGCTTTGTCTTGAGCAAAATCTAATCCAACTGAATTGACCAGGTGAATAGGTGAATAGAAAAACAAAGTTAGTTTTTTTTGAGTTTTTATTTACTTACATTCCTAACCATCACATCACTTCTTGGAGGCCGCGCCTACTTTGGATTTCTTGGTACCACGCACCTTCTTCATCCTGTTCTTGCGTTCCTTGCGCTGTTTGCGTGTTGGTCGCTTCTTTTCATAAAGACCGTGACGTGCAAGTCTGTGTTTGGGCTCGAACTTCTTGGCAAGATCCAATGTGTCGTAGATCAACGCGAACCCAGTCGATTTGCCACCACCGAAGTTCGTTTTGAAGCCGAAGACGAAAACTACGTCAGGTGTCACTTTGTACATCTTCGCAAGCTTCTCACGGATTTCCGTTTTGCTGACGGTAGGTTTTCCAGGATGTAGCACATCGCAGACCATCTGCTTCCGCGCCAACAACCTGAAAACCATAAGCGTTGTCACATAACCTGTCATAGTAACGCGGGCACGAATGGGTAATCACTATCTATTATGAACTCAAACTTTACTTAAAACACATTTACCTGTTGGTCATGAATTTACGAGTACGGATTGTTGCCGTTCCTTCACTCATTTTTGCTTATTTTAGAGTTTTCGGCGTGATTGACGCACGTGTCTCTAACAACTTCGCAAAGAAAAAGAACTTCTCGGTGTTGCTACTCAAAAAATTCAAAAGTGACAAGTGGCAATGTTGCTTGCTAAAAGAAATTATTTCGTAATTAAAAAAACAGGAAAATTTATTACTTTAATACAAACTATTTATAATCTCAGTGATTTTTCAATTTTAAATTACATTTGTTTCGTTATGTTCAAGAATGCCAAACATTACGCGGGAATATTTATTTTCTAATAGCTGGAGTTGGCTGGAGGTAGAATAGATCAATGCAAATGAATTAATTTGGAGTTAGACGGGATTGAAAAACACCACTCAAACATTGAACTTAAAGTAAATAGCCAGTCATGTAATCGCATTAAAAAAAAGTCTATAAGCACTCTTTCTGTCTACCCGTTTTGGTTATGACCTAGTGCGTTATGTCAAAGCATGGTAAATCAAAACAAACTAGAGCGTTTCCAAACATGATTTTTTATTCTTCCTTAGGGATTTTCTTGACATTTAATAGCATTAAAGGAAATTGCTTTTCCAGAGGCATGAAAATTTTTATACGAAATCATTCCTTTTAATACCAACTGCGTCATAAAAAATGTACGTTTACATGCTTATTAAATATAAACTGTTCAGAATTATGTCTATAACAACAGTACCTATAAATGTAGCACCAGTAAACATATTGTACTAACAACCTTGCATAGATTATTGATAAAAATTGTACATGTTGTGCTAATCGTGTCTAAACAATGGAACAAATATTGTTATACACGGACAAAGAATAAAAGATTGAAATCATTACAGTAAGTTTTTTATTTAAAAGAAACCTTTACGATTTTAATATGTTCATGCTTTTAATTAAATCCAATTTTCGAATTTTGTTTTTGTACTAAATATTTGCGCCTGTAATAATTAAATAGCAATTCATCGAAAAAGATTTCATGTAATTCAAAATCCGTATTTTAAAGAAAATCTAACTTGATGAAACAAATAACTAATGTGATATTATAATAGATAAGACTACTATGGTCCTAGCAGCTATTATGCAACCTTTACAATTCTACCTAATGTCGCGTCTGGTACATATTTTCCCTATGACGTCACCATAACGTTGTGAAGTCTCTTTACTTGACCAGTTTATGTCGACCCTTAGGTTATTGCATGAGCAGCCTTAGTATTTTATTTTACGCTTTGACCGAAGGCTTCCGGTGGTCTGGGCGATGGCAAGGGAGGCTTCCCCGCCCTCTATCGATCGCTTCAGGCGCCAGCTGTATTTTGTTAACGCTGAAGGGTAGTCGTGTGCGTCCAAGATACGAGTGTACTGGTTTCGACTGGACAGAATTTACGGATATTTTTATAAGTAAGTTACTTGAAGTTAATATTTGAATGTGAGCTTTAGTACTGATTTTATCTTGTTAGGGTGGGTTGCATCTAATCGCCGGTTATCGTTAAAATTAATTATTTTCTTTTGTCAAAGTTTTTAGATGTTATACTTTCTTAATTTGTGTTAGTAATTACAAATATTTAATGAGGAATTTTCATAACATAGATTGGTTATAACATAATTATTATAGGGTTAACACTCATGTCTTTTTTTCAATAGTAGCACTAGTGTCGGGCCCGTCGGGGGTTCATTTTCAAAACTTTATTAAAACACTACGAATATTATAAATGCGAATGTTTAGATGGATGGATGTTTGTTAGAGTTTGTACCTTTAACTGTTTAACGGATCTCAATGAAACTGGCATAGATGTAGAGGATAGTCTAGAAGAACACATAGGTTACTTGATTTTGTTTTTTACCTAACTCCACACGGTTTGAGATGCGGGTGAAAGCTATGTATTTATTTTTCTATGTACTGTGCGAATTCATTGTATCACTTTTAAATAATGTCCTGTGATTAAAAAGCAACCTTTTATGGACTGACATTTTCAAGCATCTGCTTGAAAAAAAATGTTTTCCTATTTTTTTTCGTCTAGACTCGAAGTCGTTTTTGGTCCCTAAGGTTGTCTTTAATCGATGATTTGTGGTCATAAATCTACACTAAACGAGACACTTAAAGACTCTGGGTGTGTAGCATTTCCTATTTTGTGAGAGACGCGAGAAGGATAATCTCAATTATTGTTTTATTTCAACAAACAATACAATTACCATTATGCTGTATTTAAAACAAAATGTAGGTTATCTTAGTTCGTTAAACTTTTAATTTTGTTACGTAAGTAATCACTACGTGAATGTCTACTTGAAATATCACAATTTAATTATTACGTAACTTGAAATTTTATGATTATTTAAATCTGTCTTGTCTTGTATTAGGGCTGTCACAGACGTGGTGCCAACCCTGGTGTAACGTAAAATCGTAAAAAAAAATATTTGTATCGTGTTTACTGCTTATTCTATGGCTTTGAAGCCGATATCTTCGGGTCAGTGTGGTTGTACCGCACTGTTAGAAAGAAAAATTCTATGCATATTGGCAGACAAAGGGGCAGGTTAATTGAAACATATAAAATCCTTAACAATTATTATGAAGTTCCCAGCCTTAAAGACATATTTATACCAAACTGTAATGAACACCTGCGTGGTCATCGTTTGAAACTATGGCAACCAACAGCAAAAAGGAACTCATTCAAGCATTTTCTGCCTAACAGAGTAGTCACGGCATGGAACAGGCTTCCGGATACTGTAGTGGCGGCTCCAACAGTCATTGCTTTTAAAAATAGATTAGACAATCTTAAAATCTCCGAGTGTCACCCAAAATAATAATAATAATAATAGTTAGAACTCCACATTTTTGTATAAGATGCCTTTATCTGGTAACAAGTGAAAACAAATAAATAGTAATCGACAGTATTTTTGTTTGACCGCAAAATTCTATTAAATCTACTCCAAGTTTAAGGCGTGGCATCGTTTGTTTCTGTCGGAAATGTATCAATCACGCCTGCCTCTATAACATTAAGGTTAGAAACAAAGCCTTGATTAAAAGTGACATTATTGTTTCTTATTAAAGTAAAAATATTAGTGCAATAATGGTGTACTTAAGTAGCATTAACTGTTTATTGCATTAGGTTTTTCTTTGGGGGTTTACATTTGGCCAGTACAGTTAGATAGTAGCACAGGCCTGACATGAACTGAGCTCAGTGGTGCCAGTGGGTGTTAAGATTATTCCAGTTATATGCCAACACTGATGTTGAGTTACTTAACTGGCATATTGTAAACCACGTATTATAGTTTGTCTAAATAAGATAGATTAGTTTGATAAATGACGCATATGAAGTATCGAATTCTATTTGTATGAAAGTAAATGCCGCACTTAATAGACAGGTATCTATCGATCTTTGGTTTAAAATAGTTATCGAACTCAACTAAAATTATTATTTTCTCATTAACTAATTTAGAGGACAATCCTAGTATTGATTATAGTGTAAAGAATTTAGCGATGACAGAAATAATAGCGAAATCCAATTCGTACGGCTGCAGTGGTAATAAACATTTAACTACAAGATTTATTTTACACAACTGATTTTACACAACCCATCCCTAATAAATTTTAAATGAATTGTCAAACTAATCTATCTTATTTAGACTAATTATAATGTAAATCCCTTTTTAATGTAAATTTACTTTTCGACAACCTATAGACCTTAGACTTGCGATAGTGCAGAGATATTATTTCACGTTAAATTATTCTATCTATAGTTTTCGCTTGTAGCCAAAACAATCACGAAATGTCGTACGATTTGTAACTACTTAATTGTTATTTGATTATATCGTAGTCAAAACATATAAAATCGAGTTTTTCGTATTCTCGGAAATTATAAGTAAATATTTTATTAAATTTTATCTCACGATAAATTTTGTATTTATAATTACTTATTGTATGAACATTTAGGTTGACATTTTTTTATTCTATTTCGTAGAAACAGTCCTTCAGTAGACAAAACAAACAGTGCAGTTTAATTTATGTTAGTTAATAAATGTTTGCAATTACAACAAAATATGTTAGAGTAACTCGTCATAGGCGTGCGAGACAAGTGGGCTGGTACATTTTCTCGGTAAAAGATTAAATCTGACAAAATAAGATTACAAACAATGATACAGATTGAGGCGTTGTCGTATGAATTTGATAATAATTTTATTGTTACACTTAAATTGCTTGTAGCACTCAGATTCACCTTTATCAGACTTTTATGATATATTTTTCGACTCTGAGTGACACAACTAGACGTAATTTTCGCTCCACTTTGATTAAAGATTACTCTTGTGACGCTGATCATATTTTTTATTTACTTTCAGATATCTAACGCTCTTCGTGTCGATATTTAGCTCAGCTAAATTAATGTTGAACTAACATAGCTATACTCCATACAACTCCGTACTTCATTCACACTGTATGGGTGACGTTTCACCAGACTTCAGTACATTCATACGATTCTTAATGGTATCCTATCAAAATAAGCCAAATACTTTAAAACTAAACAGCGTGGCTAGAGAGTTAAGCCGATATTCTGCCAGAGATCCAAGATTAAGACGATAAATAAATAAAAAAAACACACTGCCAGTATTATAATCAATAACTAATCAACTTAGAATGGAATTAGATCGTAGAGATTCAAATATTTTAAAGAATAGCAGAACTCCTAATGATTTAGTGCAATCTGAGGATATAAGAGAATCGCTTCTATCAGAATCCACGTCAGGTATTTGTGGAGATGAAGAGCAAGATAGTAATTACGAAACGAACTCATTCTCCAGCGTCGAAATAGAAATAAGCAACAAAGAGGGTATTTTATCTTTTGGTACTAAAAAGCATAAAGAAGGTAGCAAATTCAAATCACAATTTAAAGGAGTTGGTTACCGCGTCGGTGATAGTAAGTCAAGCGATCACTTTATTAATATCACTATAAATCCAAACGACGAAGGGAAAGAGGTCCGTGTGGTAAACAAAAATGCCGATATAAAACCTAAGATACCTGATGGAGGTTGGGGATGGATTGTTGTGATGTCATCTTTTGTTATATCTATGATAGCTGATGGTATCAGCTTCTCCTTTGGTCTACTTTATATTGAATTCCTGGATGAGTTTAAAACGAGCAAATCTATGACAGCTTGGATCGGTAGCCTCTTTATAGCCGTACCACTTCTCTCTGGTCCGGTGATGAGCGCTTTAGTTGATAGATACGGATGCCGCAGCATGACTATTTTAGGTGGATTAGTATCAGCGCTTGGATTTGCCCTAGCTTCTTTGTCAAATACTATTGAAATGATGATGATAACATTTGGAGTGATTGCCGGATTGGGTCTCGGATTAGTTTATGTCACAGCTGTAGTTTCTATAGCGTATTGGTTTGAGAAGAAGAGGAACTTAGCTGTAGGTCTCGGGGCTTGTGGTACAGGTGTCGGAACATTCGTGTATGCCCCAATGACTCAGTACTTCATAGAAGAATATGGCTGGAGGGGTACTATTCTATTATTATCTGGGACACTTCTTAATTTATGTGTTTGTGGCTGCGTTATGAGGGACCCGGAGTGGTGGATACAAGAACAAAAGAAACAGCGAAGTGAAGATAAATCAAACTACAGTAAAGACGAAAGTAAATCTAGAAATTCTAGTTTTGCATCGATAGGAAATCCTTACATATTTGATTTTGACGCACCAACGAGAGGTGTAGGTATGAAACGGTTAATAACAAAAGGAGTGTCACCGGAAAAAGTTATAAAAGATGAAGCTGACGCTATAAAAAGATACGAAAATATTATATCCTATACGAAAAGGAATTTACTAAAGTCAAGATCTATGGATAACTTACCTAGCTATCTTACATATGACGACAAGGTAAGTTCTAAAACTTAATAATTATTACTTTATAAGATAACAATTTAACGTTTCAATTACTTATCATACAGAGATCGAAGAAAATGCTGGAAGCCATAGTAAAAACCATAAGCAAACAATATGAAATTGACGTCAAACATCCAACTTTTATACACACAAATAAAACAGAGGTACAAAAACTAATAGAAGGCAATGAAAACACGGACCCACCGGCAGTTGCTTATACTGATCAATTTCTTCAACGAACACGATCTGAAAAATATGGTAACAACAAAGAAAACTCCTTAAAGAAATATCAATTGAAGAATTATCAAGAAATCGAAGTGACTAAGTTCTTAGATTCTGAGGCAAAGATTAACAAGATTGAAAAACAAGACAGTAAAGAAAATCGACGGGACTGGTTCAAGAAACAATTGTCAGTGAATCATCATTACTTGAAAGATTTGAAAATGCCGATAAATTCAATAAGTCATAGGAACGCTTTGTTGAACATAAAGAGATATCGACTTAAGGCATCGTCATGTCCAGATTTATTCAAAAATTCCATGATATCTGTTAACGAAAAAGAAGAGGTAAGACTAATAATTGATTCATAGAAAGTAATGTATTATTTTTTATGTAAAAAACCTGACATTTTTGTCTAATGCCGTATTTGCAAATCTGAATATTTAACTATTGATTTGTTGAGTTTGTTAAACGGTCAGTTATTCTTTTGTTTAGAGTTACAAAAGAAAAAAACATTCTAAATCCAATTTGAATTTTCCAGAAATGGAACGAAGATTGTGTAAATTGTCTCTCCGATATGTTCAATGTGACTTTGTTCAAGAAGATGACATTCAACCTTTTGTGTCTGGGCACATTGCTATTGTTCATCTGGTTCATTGTACCGTACTTCTATTTGGCTGAGCACATGACACAGAAAGGTTATTCCGAAGACGATGGAGCTATGATGTTGAGTATAATTGGTATAACAAATACCATTGGTATGGTAAGTAATTTTTAATAGTATAAGGTGATGAACGAGCAAGCCAACGGAATTGGCCAGAATAGCGATTCGGCTTCTGCTTTGTCTATCTTCAATCGACGTAGGATGGGACGGGATGGGACGAACAGAAAGAAAATTTTCCATTATATGCATTCCCTCCTTCGTCAAATTCACTACTTCTTTCCATACTTTCTAGGGGAAAAGGGAACTAAATTGTTTGTATACAACTCTTTGGCATACGATTTATGAAACTTCTATAGAATATACGAGTAGGTTAGATATTGGTAGATATGATTTTTTAATATGATTGATGTTGATTTACATTTTTTAAGAACATTTGTATGCAGTGCATTAAAATAACTCCAAACTCAATGACATGGCCTTACGTACGTAAACATTTTGTAAAATGATATACTGATTATCTCGAGGTTGGCAGAAATAGAGAATTCTCTCATTGAATGTGACAGACTTCGTATTTGTGCCAACTCACAGAGCTGTTAAATCTGGAAAGCAGAATTAATTTGCTTTTTGATATCAGCAATAACATTATCCAGCCTATTTGTTGCCAAATAATATTTATAGAAACATAAAGTTTCTTACTATCATACAGATAATTCATAACGAAACATCAAATTATATAGTTGATTCTGTTTTATTTATGTGTTCTTCCATACTATAGCCTACAATTATGCCAAACATTGAGATCCGTATGCTGTTTTGAAAATTCGTAGCAACAACCAGCTAAGCCATCGCTTTTAAAATTTAGGAAGATTTGAATAAAACATTTTCAATTTTTTTTTATGTTCGCTTGACCACGATCCTACCATTGCAAGTGATGATTTACGTTTTGAAGTAGAAAAAAGTGACACTAGTTTACAATTAAACTAAACAACTAGATGAATAATCATCCTGGTATAAACCTAAATTCTGTTTATTCGGCTTAAAATTCAAACAAATGAATACCTTTGCCATTTGTTTCAGGTTGGTCTTGGATGGATCGGAGATTTCCCTAAAGTGTCTATAGGAAACTTGTATGCAGTTTGTCTTATCCTCTGCGGCGCATCAGTTGCTGCCTTACCTTCATCATTATCTAATTATTGGATTTTAGTATCTATATCTTCAGCGTTTGGGTTGCTTTTTGCTGCATCGTTTACTTTCACACCGAGTTTATTAGTTAAATTGGTATCATTGGATGATTTTACTTCAGCATATGGATTGGTTTTGTTGGCGCAAGGAATTGGTCATTTAATCGGACCACCTTTGTCAGGTATGTTTAAAATCAATTAGTTTTGACTCTAACTGTAACCTTAACGGGTGTTATATACAATATTTTTTTCAGGTCTAATTTATGATTTAACATTCTCATGGGAACTGGCTTTTTATTTAGCTGGCGGATGGATTATTGTATCTGGAGTTCTCATATTTTTCATACAACCTGTGAAGAATTGTCAAGAAAATCGCCTGAATATAGAAAATCAGAATACATCTAGTCAAGCTTAGTTTCAACATTCTTTGAAGCGCGTAGTAAATCAAAAATAGAAAAATTAGCTTCGCTCCTTTTAAATAGAGTATTAAGTTATGCGAAAACGAATTCATGAAACATGTTTTTATCGTCGACAATGATTTTTTACGACCAGCCAAATGGTTATTTATTTTGATGTACGATATATGAACGAGTACAATCCAAAAATGTGCTTTTCCAGAGAAAGTCTGTTATTCCTGCCTTCATGTTAAAATAAATACATCGATTTAAACCGAATGAAATACCTTACCATTTGATAACTGTATATTCTCTAAATTATTTGATAAAATTATGCCTTAATAGCTTCAATTGTATTAAAATTTACCAAATATTATTGTAGTATTAGAATTTTCTATTTTAAATCACTTTTTTATTGTTAAGCAAATGTTAATCTTTGAAAATATTAAATAATATTCAACGAAATGCATTGTTTTATTATGCCTTTTTTCTATAACTTAAGATGGCAAACGAGCAAGTGGCCACCTGAATCCGCCAAAATTGCAGATGCATCGCCTAGCCTTATCCGACGGAGGAGGAGACGCACAGAAAGAGGATATTTCCTCTTCCTATTCATCTCTTCCATCGTCAAATCCACTTCCCCTTCCCTTCCTCTCATAAGAAAAGGGTGGTAAAGAGAAAGGGACTTAAATTAGGCCTCCGGCACCACACTCGTCAGACGAAACACGGAATTGCTTCCATTTGACGCCTGTCTTCTGTGTGGTCGTGGTATTACACCAGGCGTGCCGGCCCTGCAGTGCTAAGATGTTAAAGCAGGCACTACCTTTTTACATTTTTACATTGATCTCTATTAATAGATATTTTTAACATCAATCGCAATAGTCAGCTCCAAAATGGAGGAAATCAAGGTCATATTACGAGTAGGTAGCAAAAAATATGGAACAGTGTACTTGTTAATTCAAGTAAAATATTTTCACTGTATGTTTTTATGCCTACATTCAAAATTGTTAGATTAAGTTCATTGACCTGCAAACTATTCTAAATTATTTTACTAAAGTTCAATGACTTTTTAATTTTTTTACGTAAAACGATTATAAATTCCTCATGATTAAAGTATTAGAAAGTATGATACGGTCGTTCAACGATCTATTTATAAAAATATTGGTAAAATCGGGAAATGTCCATTCGGTATAGATATCTTTCACGTGACCTTTATTCATCTAATGACTCAAAAAAGTATCGATGTTTTAAGAAACATAACCATAGACAAATAGTTCATCAATCTTCGGATTGTCTGTGGTCTAATAATACTTAACCTTAAAAGTCTGTCAACTTTAATAAAAACCATTTTTTGCTTTCATCCTTCTAGGCCTTCACACCTCCGATGAACTCTGTTATCTTTTAAAGAATTCGCTTTTTACATAATAGTTTAAAAAACTATGTAAGCAACAGATAATAAAAATAAGACACATGATTTCTGGGCATATAAACGTCTGTAGCAATTTGTTCCGTATAAATATTTTTATTCTAAGAAGAGAAGTAAAATTTGTTCTTATTTATCCACACGATATACTTACGTATATTTTATATATGTTTATTTTTTATCTTTGTCAGAGCATGCTATCTTTCTATCTGATTTCAGAATCCTTATCAAACAAAGAAGGCTTACGAGAAAACATCAAGATATGTAATATATTGTTTTTGCACAGAGCAGCTATAAATTATCTTTACATCAAAATCACTTAACATGAGATAGTTTTTGATAGGAATTTGGTTTAGCCAGCACACAAAAATGATTAAATAAATAAAGATTGTTATTTATTCTCATATAAACTAATATCAATACAACTGTGTATAAAAACAAGATATTATTTTTACACTATTCTAGACATGTTCTTTTTCTCTACATTCGAACAACTCAAATTAAATTAACATATGTCATTATTTAAATACAGCCAGTCTTACACTGCAAAACATCAAATAGGTTTCATTTACAACAGTTTTTAGTATATTTTTTACAAATGTTCTACATCGGCATCATTTATTCTTTACTCATGGACGTCACCAGGGCATAAGATGTCTAGACTTCAAAAATTTAAAGTAGTTAAAAAAATATTATTTTTAAGCTATTTGAGCGTCTATAAGTGCTGGGACAGGTCCTTAGCGTTGCTTTCTGAAATATCATCAAGATTATTGTTTATTATTTTGGTACCGTGACTATTTTAGACGGTACAGATGTTTTGCGTCATACGAGAACGGTTTCATTTGAGTTATTGTGTCTAGATGTCAAATTGTCTAGCTCTTAACGGGGTAAATAAGGCATTACTACAAGGCCGTGAAATTTTAAAATACCGTCTGTTTTGGTATTATATAACGTAGCTAATTTACAAAGACACATTCGTTGCGTGTTATTTTAATTGGTATCAGAATAGCTCGTTTAGTTCCACATGTGTTTACATTAGTCCTGCTAACCTATTGTTATAAAGAAAACATCGTGTTCTTTTATTGAATTTCACATTATAAATTACAATAGTTATTCGTTTTCCGTTTTACACTTCAGCCTCCACTTATTAAATATTGAAATTCTCTATATGTGTTTTACTGAAACTGATTCCTTGTAATGCTTTAAACTGACTAAACATCTTGTAAAAACCTTTATCCTGATGGAATTTAAAAGGACAGAATGCTACAGGACGGTTGAAGCCAAGGAAAGATTTCTCTATGCTTATTCCTGCTCGAAGGACCATTCTATTCATTGTTGTAACGCTATTTGAATCCGTATATGTTTACTAATTGTTTTGGGATACATATTATGGATTGATGTTTGTACATTCGTTCTTTGCATCTATTATACGAAAAAACCGTTAAGAGATTTTTTTGTGTAGGATTGTCCGAAGCGAGATCTCCGGTGCTATAAAAATTATTTCGAAAACTCAAACTATTTCGACCTTTTTGATAAAACAATAGACAAATACTGGTTCAATTGTTAGCAGAAAAAAACTACGTAAAAATATCAACAATGTCCGAAATGTCATTTGGCGCTTATCTTTGTTGTTCAATGGACAGATAAAAATGTGAAAAAAATCCGTTTTATTCTGCGATGTGCGAAAATCTTCATCAGTGCGAAATTGGCATCGTTACACTGAGCACTCCTGAGGTTTCTGACGTAAAATTCCACTACATTCTCCGTATCTCGTAGACGGATTTGTTACTATTAAAATATTAAGACAATAAAATCTGAAGCTTTCAAGTAAACAATACTATCAGGAGTTGATAACAGCATTCGCTCTGGAAGAAGATCGGGGTACGGTTGTGTTGATAATTAAAAAAATATTTATTTTATGTTAATTAAATTGCAATTGTAACGAAAATGCGGTGGAGCCGGGAGAGGCGCGATGAACGCCGTCTCGCCTCGTAATAGCCCGCGGCCTGCGTTTGCGACGCGGACCAGACGCAGCCAGATGTGACTCGTGTGTCGAACAGTGTGCACGTGTTTTTAGTGACTCTGTGTCCAGCGGAACCGCGCGCGATCCTGTCAAACAGCCGGCGAATTCGCGCCATCGAGGTAAGTTTTATTAGGTTATGTAAACATTCGTTTGTATACATGTTCGTGTAAACGTTGCAATGTTTATGCGTGTAGTTCTGACGAGACGAGCGATAAAAATTCAATACCTAAAGTTTCAGGGCCTCGATCTGACGATGGTCGGTTGCAATCTAACATTCCTATATGCTCGATTCTTGTTTTAGATTTACTCAAGTATAAATACTCTAAACGTGTGTAAAATCCTATTGCTAATTTATAGACTAGGTGCATTGTGTACATTTAAAATGTGATTTTTTAAATCTATGCAGCAATAATTTGAATAACCGGAATAAACTAGATTTAATTATACCTAATCAACGAGATAGTTTGGACAGGGAAAAAATTCATTGTTTACATAATTTTTCAGACGCTCCTAACATTTAATTAGCGGAAAACTTTTACTTCTTGCTAAGGCGCATTTCTCAAACAAAGTTATATCTACTAACAGATAAAGATAATTTAAATTTAATACAGAAGGTCGAAAAAACGACAAAATAAAGATGCATTTTAAAATGCAATTTTCGTACCGGAAATTAAATTTATATCGTTTTTATACTTAAACATAACTTGTTACTAACATATTTATTTCTCAGAAGCGTATCTATAACCGTGTGATATGAACCAGTTAAGTTACATTTCTTCGTTTTAAGGTTTGACTAGTTTAGCAAAATATGTAGCGCAAATAATAGATATCTTGTAAAAAACAACATTTTATAACAAACATCTCGCGCTGCAAATTATTGAAGAGAAATTATTATAAATTATTTCGTCTAAACTTTCAAATTATTTGTAGGGCATTGCTAACGAGAACATATTGCAATGTCGTTGACAATTTGTTGACAATTAACAGAATTTGTTGTTTACAAAAGTAATGTACCCAATCAACATAAATTATGGAAATCTCTTACAAGTATTTACATTTATTTTATCATTAACTAATATTTCAATTATCACACTTCTTACTAATATTATAAATGCGAAAGTTTAGAAGGATGGATGTTTGTTAGAGTTTGTAGCCTAAACGGCTGAACGGATTTCGATGAAATTTGGTATAGATGTAGAGGATAGTCTGGAAGAAAACATAGGCACTTTTGTTTTTTTATTAATTTCACACGGACGGAGTCGCGGGCGAAATCTAGTATATTTATAAAGAAATTAATCTTGAACAAAGGCATTACCTGAACTAAAGCCGCTATAACTGTAGGGTATCCATCAATCCGGTTTTCACCGGTTATATCCGACTAGACTGAGGTTTCTTATATCTGCTCTCTCTCTTTATGTCGACAAATGCCAAGTTTGTTTCCAATGTTGCAAGAAATATTTTTATTTTTTTTAACACAGACGATTCACTTATATTATCGTTGTTAAATATTTTTTTTAATATCTCAAAACCAATAAGATCAAAGATTAGGTTGTCCAAAATTTAAATCCAACGATCAAATACAATAAATTATAGTTACGTATAATTTTTTTTTGCAGTTGAAAATATTTCTATCTTAAAACTAAAGACATATGAGAATAAATAAGAATCCTTAATCGTGTTACCTTCAGTGCGTCTCTGTATTATGTAAGCAGACCACGTACTATGTTAACATAACTGTATAAAAACCTTTGTCATAGATTACTATGCGTCGAAGATAACATGACAGTTGTGGGACATTAGAGACGTACTTAAAGGTCAGTTTGTAGGACAGAAATCTGCAGCAACGGCTTAACATAAACGTGACATTGTAATTGGTTTTTAAAATTAATGCCATGTTTAGAATTAAAGGGCATATAAGGGAGGATCTAAGGTAGGCAATGTGTGAAGTAGGATGTCCAATTTTATTTATCTTAAATATTATAAATGCGAAAGTTATTGGATAGTTTTTGTTAGTTTGCCCCGTAAGGGCTGAACGGATCTCGATGAAAGGCATAGATGTAGAGTAAGTCTGGAAGAAGACATAGGTTACTTAATTTTGTTTTTTAATTTCACGCGGACGGAATTGTGAGCGAAAGCTAGTTTATGATAAAAATAAATTAGCAGTCGATGTAGTAAAGACTGTAAATTCTTCTCATTGCAATGATATTGTTAACGCAAACTTTAAATCAATGCAAGTTTAAACCAGACCAGAATTCTTGGTTGCAGCTTATTTGTTACCTTCCTTATAGAGGCCATATAAGTACGCTCGTTCAACAACCATGAATTAAAGTTTTTTGCGGACACAACTAGGGCTCAGTAACTATTGGTTCAATCAGTTAAAGAACCACATTTAATAATCAAAATTAACTTTAAACTTCAACAAAGAGCGCAAAAAAAAATATAGGCAAGTCAAGTCAACTATTAGAAACTTGGGTTCGAAACGTTGTCTATTATTAGACCGCAATGATAACAGTGAAATTAATTCGATCAGATATCTGGTAATTACACTTGTTTTTATGACTAATTCTTAATTTATTACAATTTTAATATTTATCAGGTAAGATACAATCGTTTGAATATTTTGCTTTTAACAGATTAAAGAGTTCGAAACAAAAACAAGTGATTTACTGCATTCCTAGCCATAGCAGATAATGATGATTATCGTAATATCCCTGTCCTGTAGCACTGGATCGCTGGCCAGCTGATTTAAAAATCATAGAGACCCTATTAAAATGTAAACAATAAAATAAACTTTCTATAATTTCATGCGGATGAAGCTGTACAAGAACAGCTCGTTTCTTATACAATAGTTAGAGAACTTTTACAGCTGTCTCCCTCAAATGCTTTAGAAATATAGAGATAGTAATGTCTTCAATTCGTCAAGTCATTTGTCTCTGCTTCGCGATTGGTAAAGTAATGATGCGAATTTTTGATGGCCCTGGATTAGTAGTAGGCTGGAGGTTGTGACTTTTGATTATCACGTTATCTTAATCCACGTAGGTTGTTAAGTGCGAAATGCAAAGCCAATCTTATCGAGGAATTAAAAAGCCATTGATCTTTTATTAATTCATGCGATACTGTCATGTACGATAACACAATTTAGTGCATAGTAAATGTTGACCGTGTCTATACACGTGTTTGGATAAAGGTTTTAAATTTAAAAGAAAGTCTTGATAATTTTGCTGAAAATTAGGATGATGACGCCATCTTTAATTAGATTCGTGATTCCATTGTAAATGTCCTCTAGTATTTTTTTGTCTCAATAGTCTGCCGGCCTTCGTATTTTTTTTGCAATCCTGCACCGGGCCGACCTTTTTCTCTTTGCTTTTTTGTATTAAGACGGTTCATTGTTTCCTTTTATCAGCCAAGCTGAATAGTCAACTTCTATAGAGTAGTCAAAACTCTGATCTATGATGTAAGTAGTAGTGTAGAATTTTGCATGGCAACTATCGTTTAGGGTATGATGGGATTTAAAGTTTATGCCGGATTGACGTCAACTAAGTCGTAGAAAGCATGCACAGGGGCCAGGGGTATTCCTATGTATGACTTTATGTGCCGTCTTGTGTCGAACGAATTTGCGAACTGTGGTAACCTTTGCATTGCACTGTACAGTTGGTTAAATGCAAAAGTGTGCAGTATAGTTAACTCGAAATCCTACAAACTCTAGTATTTACTGCACTGAGGTAGTCAATACATACTATTGAATTGTCTTGCTGTAAGTCAAGATATAAAAAGGTATACGATCATTTTGATGACGTAAGCGTCGTATTGTTGTACGCATGAGTAAAGAAGTTTTAATGCGTTGTATCGTGTCCTCGTGGATACTATAAAATCATATGTTCGATTGCGTCAAACAGGAATGTAGTTTTACCAAAGACGTTAAAGAAATATATAGAGTTGGCATAGTGAACAAAATTTTTTCACCGGTAATTTCTCCGACAGGTAATATATCAGTTGTCAAGTTTCGTACGCCATCTCGTGTCCTTGTGTGATATTTTACGAAATTATTAAACACTCCATCTTTTGATATAAAATAAACTAAACAGCGTCACAAAATAAAATGTAAACATTTAAATATTATTTAATGACACCTATAGACAATTAATTTAAAAACAATTAAAATATATAGACATGTGGATTCGAGGCCGTCAATAGATAGTGTCAGTAAAGATTATGTGAGAAATGTCGCAAGTGAAATGTCAACTATGGCTACTCTATACATTTTTTGAATCTCTGAATTTTGCACATATTGTTGTCTCACGTTTTTGAAGGACAATGAAAAGGATGTTTTTATATACACTTGTTTTTGTAATTTGAGACTCTGATACTCCTAATGTTGAACCAAAACTGCGCTCCAGATGCAAAAGCATATGAAAATAACCGTTCCTTATCCGACTCACGTTTGTAATTTATTAGCAAAACATTTGTAAGTACAGTCACCATTTAAAGTGTTTTCTTTCGAATAGACTAAATATAATTATAAAATAAATGGAAAAAAAATATTATGATTTTACAATGTACAATCGATATAATGATTAGAGGTCTTACACAATCTGAAATAAATAATGCTTTAAATATTACAAATTTTCTAATTTCACTTTGTTGTTGACTGTACTTTTCCAGTCATGAATTGGAAGCAAATTTCCATGCTATAAATAATAATTTTCGCTCCAGCTGCCTACTAAATATAAAACGTACTTTTAAACCAACAGGACTGGATTACGTCAGGCGAAATTAATAATAACCGAGTGATTTACCGTCAACACTGGACCAACGCCTGATTACCATAAAAGTTTGTTCCAAAATTATTTGTGATCTTGAAAATACTATCAACAATTTGGGGGGGAAACAAATGTCAAAATGACATTGACATTGGGCGCGCGAATTTCGGACGACACATTGAAAACCATAGACAAATACCATTTTTTTAAGAAGAGAATTTTTAGGATTGGTATTAATTGTTCCAAAGTATAGATAGATTTAATTTAACGCTTGTAGTTTATTCTGAAACTGATAAGTAAATTAATAATGTTACTACACAGATAAACATAAAATTAATGGTAATTCTTATCTGTGACAT